TTTTTTTTTTTTTTTTTCTGGGCCAGCTTTAGCTCTGAGGCCTTGCTGCTGAAAACATAGATACAATGTTGCGGTCCGAGCCCGGCTGAATGGAAGCCCTTTTCTGGGGTTTTGTTTAGCTTCTTATTTGCAACATAGTATATAGTTGCTTAGAGTTGCAACTGAGAGGCTGGCAAGTTAGGTGGGGAACGTTGGAGTCCGCAGTCACTGAAGCAAGCAAGCCTCCCTGTTTGCTTCAGTGCCTGGCTGCCGGCCGCCATCTTGGCTGACAGTTAATTTGCATATACTCACTGATTAGCCAATGAAAAGGGTAGCGGTCGTACGCCAATTACCATGTTTCTCTTTTATTAGTGTAGATTATATCAATATGTCTAGTTTATATTATAGGCACTAAATAAGTTTACTTAACAACTATGATTCCCTAAATTAGAAAGTCACTTGCATTTAAAGTAAACCAGAGATTTGTATATGGCAGGACTTAGGGAAAAATACATGTCCTAGAATATGACTGAATTATAAGAAAATAATCATCAGGTAAATTAAAAAATTATATAAGCCACTTAATTTATTCACATGACCAAATTAAAATGTTTAACTCATTATACTTGATTTCAATGTGTTTTAGATTGCTAAATAATTTTTATTCACTACTTGCCCCATTTCAAAACAAAATTTCATAATTTATAGGTTATTCACTATTTTGTTTATGTGTATTTCCATTAGTAGAGGTAACTTAGAGTACACTAGATTTCAGAATGAAGTGAGGGGTCAGGGGTTGGGGACTGGATGAAAAAGGTAAATGGATTTTTTTTAACCATAGTGACACTTTCTTTGTAACATCCAGCAGGAATTTTTCTCACCCATCTTCTCAAGATGTCCCATGAGTGAGGGAGGGTGGAGCTGACTGGCACAGAGCCAGGGCCTGGTGGGGGCACTCCGGGGCCTCAGCATGGCCAGGCCAGGCCAAGCTAATAGCTTCAGAGGCTCCGGGGGGCACCGCAGGAGAGGACCCTAGCATCCCCAGTATGAGCCCTTATGTTCACTGCAACTAAAGTAAAAATAAGGAGGGGGTCAGGTGGGGTTGAGGGATTGGCCCTATTGGATGCTGGGCTTCAGGGGCCATCTCCTGGGTGGGGGTGCCCACAGAGATGGAGCCAGCTCCTGGACTGGTGTCCAGTCTACTGGGGACTGGAAGACGGTGGCTCTATTGGGTTCAGCCCTGCTGCTTGGGGCTGAGCTCAGCCACTTGGCTCTCTTCTCCAGATGGCCCTCAGGGAATTCAGTGATGTCTGGAGGCCGCTCCCTGGCCCGCCTCTCCTCCTCCACCTGGATACTCAGCTCCTGCAGGTTATCACTCTGACAATGGAAAAATCTGCAATTGGGGCCAAAGTCACACTGGCCTGTCAGTAGAAACTTCCTGCAGGGCCACTTGTTCTGTTCATCCAGCAAGATGGCAGCTGCACCTGGGAACATGTCCTACCAGGATTTCTTGGCCTTGAGATGCTGCGGCCCAGATTAGTAGTTACAAAATAGTCATGGGGATGTAAAGTACAGCACAGAGAATATAGTCAATAATACTGTAATAACTATGTATGGTGCCAAGTGGGTCCTGGGAATATTTGGGAGGGGGGGAGGGACACTTTGTAAAGTATATGATTGTCTAACCACCATGAAAAAAATACATTGTTTTATAATATAGGCAAAAAAGTGAGTATTTTAAATATATTTCTTTATTGATTTAAGAGAGGAAGGGAGAGGGAGAGAGAGTGATAGAAACATTAGTGATGAGAGAGAATCATTGATCAGCTGCCTCCTGCACAGCCCCTGCTGGGGATCGAGCCCACAACCCGGGCATGTGTCTTTGGCTGGAATCAAACTTGGGACCCTTCAGTCTGCAGGCCTACGCTCTATCCACTGAGCCAAATCGGCTAGGGCAGAAAAAAAAGTGAGTATTTTAATGCTCAGTAGGGAATATTTAGGTTTTGTTGGCTCAGCCATTTAATTCTAATCATGTTCAGACACCTTAGCAATGTGTTCTTATTTGTAAAAATATCTCTGAATAGGTGATAATATCGGATGTATGTAACCCGTAAAATAATGTCAGTAATGAAGCATTTGTGAGCTGATCAGTAGCATTTTCAGGACATAAATCACAAGGCAACGTTTCCTTTTCCTCCTGCTCAAAGCAAACTTATTTTGATCCATTGTTTGGAAGAGCAGAAGTGAAATTAGAGCCTTCACATTCACAATAGACTCTCCTTTGCCCCAAATTAGCCCCACTACAATGGCAGTTGTCCATGCAAAGTGAAAAGCATCATGAAGAAAAGCAAGATTCAGTTATGAGTGAAATATTTGAAATGCAGTCACTGCAATGAGAGCATATATTGACAGGTGTGCAGTTGATAACTAGCAAACTACATTAATAGAGTCTCACACAAGAAGGAAACAAAGCATAGTAGAGGAGCATTTGTTCAGTCAAAACATTAGCATAAAATATATGTAGATTCTGTAGGTTTGTGAAGAGTGTGTGTGTGTGTGTGTGTGTGTGTGTTTGTGCGCATTATTGCTTCCTAACCTAAAGCTGTGGAAATTTTAATCAGGGCACAGGGGATGACATAAAGGATCCCATAACTTAAAATAAAGATTGCCTTCTAATAATGCAATTTAGAAAGATTGGCACAAAGTAAGTGAGGTCAGCTTTCTAGTAAAGTAACTTAAGCTGAACAACAATCTGTAAATGTTGACTAAAATAGATTTTTAATAGCCTTATTCTAATCAAAGTGTGTTTGACATGATCACTTTGGTAGTGATAATTAAGTCAAATATATTTTGTCTGTACGAGCTGCATATTTCCTCTGCCTCACTTAACCCACTCCCATGGTCTGTGGGAAAAGAGACTGATTTTTTTTTTTTATAGAAGGCATCAAAGGAACACCTCCTTGCTTGCTTTTGGCATCCATTTGCACTAACAAGAAGTACTAGCAAGAAATTAGCAGGTTTATGGAATGTTTCCCCTGAATCTATCCCTGCATGGTAGCTGCAGATTAGCTAAGGCCTTTTTGTTTTTGTTTTTGGGGGCCTTTAAAAATGTTTTAATGAAAGCTACAACTAATCTATCCATGTTCTGATAACTTCAGGGGTAGGAGTGTATTCCCCACCTTTTAAAAGGTTTTTCAAACTCTCCTTGGTTAGTGTTATTTCCTGATGAATATACATTTTTTAAAGGAACACATTTGTTACTAAGAATGAGAAAGTATTTACATGTCCTAAAAAACTGAATTTTGAGAAAGGATAACCTGTCCATATGTGTCTAGGCCTTTTTGGGTGACAGAGTGTTACAGTCAATTGCTTGAGACATTCTTTTGGAGGGATAGCCTTTTTAAGCTATTATTGTTGGCACTTTAATGTCATTTAATATTTTGCTTGTGTGTAAGCTTATCAACTATACTTCATGACAATATACATTTTTATGTAGGTTTTTTATTATAGAGTTATCGTTCATGAAATAATAGTTAAAGATATTCAGAGGCCTGGTGCAAAATTGGTGCACTGGAGGGGGTGTCCCCTCAACCCGACCTGCACGCCCTTGCAGTCTAGGAGCCCCGGGGGATGTCTGACTGATGACTTAGGCCCGCTACCCATGAGGAGAGGGCCTAAGCCTTCAGTCAGACATCCTTAGTGCTGCTGCAGAGGCGGGAGAGTCTCCTGCCACTGCCACTGCCACTGCGCTTGCCAGCCATGAGCCCAGCTTCTGGCTGAGCGGCTCTCCCTCTGTGGGATTGGACCGAAACTGGATCTCCGACACCCCCCGAGGGGGTCCTGGATTGTAATAGGGCACAGGCCAGGCTGAAGGACCCCACTGGTGCATGATTGGGGCCAGGGAGAGACGTGGAAGGTTGGTCAGCCAGGGAGGGACCGCGGAACGGCTCCAGGGCATATCTAGCCCAACTAGTTTAATCCTGATCTGCTGGACCCCAGCAGCAAGCTAACCTACCGGTTGGAGCGTCTGCCCCCTGGTGGTCAGTGCACATCATAGTGACTGTTTGACTGGTCAACTCTCTATCCCCTTGTGGTCAGTGCATGTCATAGTGAGGGGTTGAACAGCCGTAGCATATCATTAGTGTATTACACTTTGATTGGTTGAACGTCTGACTGGTCGACTGGACACTTAGCATATTAGGCTTTTATTATATAGGATAGCAATCTAACTATCCTTAGCAAAGCCACATTACTCTTTTATGCAAGCAAGTCAGCTCCTATAATTGTGCTGATTTAAAATAAATGAATATTGTATTCTCAGTAAGAAGTATAATTTCTGTTCAATAACAAATACATATTTTAATAAGCATTTATTTACAAGTGTGCATTATAAAGTTAAAAGACTATTCATGTAAAGGAAGTCAGGGCTTATTCCATGAGTTTTATTCTTTTCCTCAGCATCAATAAATCAGAATCTATGAGGAATATGTGGTTGAACCTTCCCTGAATGATGGGTATCTCCATGGTCTAGATCAGTGGTTCCCAAACTTATTTGACCTACCGCCCCCTTTCCAGAAAAAATATTACTCAGCGCCCCCTGGAAATTAATTTTTTTTTAATTTTAATAGCAATTAAACAGAAAGATATATGTATTAATGTTTCTACCTTTTTCGTAAAATATAGTAAAGAAAGGTGTAAATTAGAAACATTCAAGTTTGAAATTATGAAACTATTTATTGAACTCAGAATAGAAAGGTAATACAAAAAAAGTTAAAACAAATGCACCTGTGGCCATCACCGCCCCCCTGGATCACTGCAGCGCCCACCAGGGGGCGGTATCGCCCACTTTGGGAATCACTGGTCTAGATAAGAAAGATGGGCAGCATGACTATCTACTCATTAACTTATTGATACTGATTAAATTTCCTGTGCATAAACATGTTTGTATATATTGAAAACACACAAAAGACAAATAAGTTATTTCCTTATTACTCATAAGATGAAAAAATCTAATCACCAACTATCACTATAAAGGAAGACAGGATCTTAAGAGTATCACTTTTTTATTTCTAATGACTGTGATGTATATCTTTTATAATGGAATAATCCATGTGTGACTATATAACTATGTATCACTGATACGAGATTCTTTGGCATACTTTATATATAAGTGAATATGATTAACACTTTGAAGAAAGCAGCATTTTGAAAATAAAGATCTATAATATCATAGAACTTATATTCCCTGAGGTACAAAGAGACTTTAAGCACATAATTATACATTAAATTGTTTAATTTAATAAGTCCTAGAAATAAATAAGGGGGCTTAACAGCATAATAATGTGAATTAGAGTCAGTGTGGAAATCTCAGAAAACTAGTCTATAAGAGAGCATAAAGCTGAAACTGAAAGGATGAAAAAATAACAAATATGTGAAGATGGAGGTAACAATGAAAAACATTGCATGCAATAGAAATGAAATGTTTGACATTAGGAGACACAGAGCACAATTTTCCAGGAGGCATTTAAAATAATGACCTCAAAGAATAAACATTTTTCTATCCTAATGGTTTCTAATTTCTTCTTTTATCTTCATTTTAACTGGCCTAGAGTTTTTACTGAGATATAAGAATTTTTAAAATAATTATCATCACAGAACTGTGACTTTCCAAAGACATACCCTCAGTTGGCAAATCATTTGTTCTCACAACTGCTGTGGGAATTTAAAAACATCGAATATCAAAATTTTGTTCTGTGCTTTCAAAGTTCTCTCTGAGGCACTTGAGCATACTTGCAAATGGATCTTTTCTAGTGGTCTCCAAGGACTCTTACTTACGGCAGCATTTTGTCTTTCACAGGTGAGGAATTTCAAGTGCTTACAATAATTTTATTTGAGCCTTTACTATCCTTTCAAAGCAGGTGCAAAAACCTAAAAGAGCCGTGATACTCATTGCTCAGCAAGATTTTTATGTATGTAACATTGAAAGAAAGCTGCAAATTTGATTTGAGATTACTTTACAAAATCCTTGGAGAACTGAGTTACTACTCAGCACCTTGTCTAATGTAGGTTATTTTAATCTCAGTTACATGATTATCCCTTGTCAGACTTCAAGGAATTTCATTTAAAGTCATGTCCATGTGCATATTCTCAAAACTTTTCTTACTCTTATTGATAAATAAGGAAAATAATGGGGGCAGGAGTGGGGAGGTGGTGGTCAGTTGGGGGGAAAGGAGGAGGACATTTGTAATACTTTCAAGAATAAAGATGAACTTTTTTAAAAGTAAAAATGAAAACATGTTTGTATTCTATGAAATGAAAAAATGAATTAAGCAGAAAAAGAACTTTCCAATCCACTTAAAAAATAGAATATAAAACCCATTAGAGCAATGAAAGCATAATTTATTCTCTCTGGTTTTGCTAATGTCTAGAATATTTTAGTTGCTCAAAAGAATCTGCTTAAAATAGATAAATATATGTATATATGAGTACATATA